GAGTCATTCTACATATGAATATATCAATCAATGTGATACATACGATAATGCAGCTCAAGTTTTGAAATCAGTATTCGTAAAACAGAAGAATGAAATCTTTGCCAGGCATTGCTTGTCTGTCCGCAAACAACAGAACACTGAATCTATAGACCAGTATATACAAATTTTAAAGCAACTAAGTAAAACCTGTAATTTCAAAGCAACTACCGCAATCCAGAATAGAGACGAATACATTCGAGATGCTTTTATAAATGGATTACAGTCACAACAAATTCGACAACGGCTTTCAGAAAATAACACTCTTTCCCTTGGAGAGGCTGAAACACAAGCTCGATCCTTAGAATCCGCGCAAAAACACTCTGAAGCTCATACAAACTTCATTTGTGGAATTCAGGAAGAGAAACAAGAAAGTGGAACAGCTGATGACCAATCAGTTACTTCAGCAACTGCAAGTAGATGCTATGTTTGTGGGAATAAACGACATCCCAGAAGCATATGCCCAGCACGGGAAGTAACCTGTCGTAATTGTAATAAAAAAGGAACCCACGAATCTCCTAGCTGCTGCACCCAAATGTCTCACTAAATCCTTGACGAAAATCAAAATTAACAATTGTCTTGCTGATGCTCTCATCGATACTGGGAGTTCAGAAACATACATCAATAAGACTTTTGTTCAGGATCAAAATATACGTATACATGCAAGCAAAGTTCAAATCTCAATGGCATCTACGAATCTTCATTCAAATATAAAAGGACACTGCTTCGTGAATATTGAACTTTTGGGACACCTATATGAAAACTTCAAGATTTCGATTTTGTCTGAGCTGTGTGCTGATGTTATCATTGGTCATGACATATTATCACAGCACTCCAAGATTGAACTCGACTTTGGCGGTTCGAGAACACCTTTAGCAATATGTAGTTTAGCAGTAGCAAACATAGAACCAGTTTCTCTTTTTCATAATTTGTCATCAGACTGCAAACCCATAGCAACCAAATCCAGAAAGCAAAAATGCCAAATTCATTTCTACTAAATTAGGAAAGCTGTTAGATGAAGGAATTATAGAAAAAAGCTGTTCACCATGGAGGGCACAAGCACTCGTTTCTAAAACTGATAATCATAAAAAGAGAATGGTTATAGATTACTCACAAACAATAAATCGATATACTTATCTGGATGCTTACCCTTTACCCAACATAGAAGATGTTGTAGCTGCTGTCTCCAAATTTCGAATATTCAGCACAATTGATCTTCGTAGTGCATATCATCAACTACCGATCGAAATGGATGACAGGCGATATACTGCTTTTGAAGCTGATGGTCAGTTATTTCAATTCACAAGAGTTCCATTTGGAGTCACAAATGAAGTAGCATGTTTCCAAAGAGTTATTGATGAAATAATTAAGAATGGAAAGCTGACCGGTGTCTTTGCCTACTTGGATGATATTACAGTTTGTGGTAAAACAGAAAGAGAACATGACGAAAATCTGAAAGAATTTTCAATAGTGACACAAAAATACAACTTAACAATCAATGAAACAAAAAGCACCTTTTCTACAACAGTTATCAAGTTACATGGATACTTAATTGAAGATGGTTCTATCAAACCTGATCCCTCGAGATTAGAACCTTTAACTAACTCACCAGTTCCAGAAGATTCTCAATCATTACAGAGAGTTATAGGTATGTTTTCACATTACTCTAGATGGATTCCTCGATTCTCGCAAAAAATACACAATTTGGTGAACACAAAAACATTTCCTATGTCATCTCCTGCTATTTCTGATTTTGAGAACATTAAAACAGATATCATTCACTCTGTTGTGATGTCAATCGATCCAACTATTCCTTTCGTTGTGGAAACTGATGCATCAGATCATGCTTCAGCTGCCTGCTTGAGTCAATTGAATAGACCAGTTGCTTTATTTTCAAGAACTTTGTCAACCAGTGAACAGCGACATTCAGCAGTTGAAAAAGAAGCTTATGCGATAGTAGAATCTCTCGAGAAATGGCGACACTACTTAATTGAAAAGAAGTTTACTTTAATTACAGACCAGAAATCTGTTTCCTTCATGTTCGACATGCAGCATACTAGTAAAATAAAAAACGAGATAATCTTAAGATGGCGACTAGAACTTTCATGCTATAACTTCGACATTGCTTATAGACCAGGAGTTAGAAATACCGTTGCCGACACTCTCTCCAGAATATGTGGATCTACAAGCAGTGACACATTATTTGACTTACACCGAGCTTTGTGCCATCCTGGTTTCACACGTATGTATCATTGGATCAAATCAAAAAATATGCCGTATTCAATCGATGATGTTCGTAAAATGACAAGTTCATGTCCAAGTTGTGCTGAAATAAAACCAAAATTCATAAACAGGCATGGTAAACTTATCAAGGCCACTCAACCATTTGAGAGATTGAATATGGATTTTAAAGGCCCTTTACCATCATGTAACCAAAATATTTATCTTTTAACGATAATTGATGAATTCTCGAGGTTTCCATTCGCGTTTCCATGCGCTGATACATCATCCAGTACAGTTATAGCTTGTTTGAGCCAATTATTTTCAATCTTTGGTATGCCGTCATACTTACATACAGACCAAGGACCTTGTTTCATGTCCAAGGAACTGAAATCATTTCTTTATGACAGAGGAGTTGCGACAAGCCGTAGTACTCCGTACAACCCAGAAGGTAACGGTCGAATAGAACGCTACAATGGTATATTTGGAAGACTATATCCTTAGCATTGAAAACAAAATGTCTCAGAATAGATCAATGGGAGAAAGTATTACACGAAGCCCTACATTCCATACGATCATTACTTTGTACTGCGATCAATTGTACTCCACACGAAAGAATGTTTAATCATACGAGAAATTCATCGTTTGGACCAGCACTACCTAGTTGGCTTTCTGAACCAGGACCAGTTTCAATCAGGAAACATGTGAGGAAAAATAAATATGAACCACTTGTAGAGGAAGCGGATCTTATCGATGCGAACCCTGAGTATGCCCTAGTACGACTGTCAAATGGTCGTGAAATGAACGTATCCATAAAACATTTGGCTCCTCGGGGAAATCAACAATTACTATTTCGCGAAACTCAAACTGTCCAACGACAAACGGAAGAAATAGAACCGGATTCACTAACTCGAAGCAATATGATAGACGATCAAACAAGCATCCCAGAAGAACCAAATCTGATGAATCCAACTCAAACTGAAAATCCTCTTGAAGAGAGGAATTCAGGTGAAGGCAGAGCTACTAGAATTCGTCGGAGGCCCAGATATTTAGAAGACTATGTTTCGAAATAATACTGGGGGAAAATGTGGTGAAATCACTCTGTATTTCGTCGACTCGTTGTTGTGATCTTGTGTTGTCTTTTTCTATGTCCAAATGTCATTAGTTGCAGAATACTTATGTCATGTGTATGCCAAGTTTTTCTGCTTAATAAAACCTAGTTTTGGAAGGTAATCTTTACAAAAGGTGTGTGATATGAATCAATAGCCATTAAATGATTGAACTTTAGCAGGTATGAACATCATTTATCTGACTGATTGTTCTGTGTGGAAATTTACATTTTGATGATATTGTCGTGAATAAGATTTCTGTCACACCCAGTACAACTTTTATGTTAGCAAATTCTTGCTTTTATTTGAATAAACAATGTTAGAAAAACATAACAATGGGTTGTTGGCAGACTAGGGCGTTGCTAGGCGGGCAGTCGGGTAGTGAGAGTGGCCAAGTATGTTTGGGGGTCGCAATGGGAGCGTAATTAGAAATGAATAGCAAGTAAGTCACATAAATATGCTTCTTTTTATTCTCAGTATGTAACGTCAGTGAGAAGGTATTCATTTTGAATAGTTGAATAAAATGTTATTGATTTGTTGTTAAATTTCTGTTCGTACTTTCTCTGCCCTACCTAGTCAGTCTTGAACCACCCCTATTCACGACAATATATATTCACTTGGATATTCACCAGGAATTTGTGAAAATTATTAACAAAACTTTATTCAGAAAATTTGAACGCTTCAATTCAACGGATGAAGTGATCGATGCCAGTCTGGTACCTTTGTTATTCAGCTTTATTACTACCTTGTCATAAATTTGCTTCACAATGTTCATCATTCCCCCCGTTTCAACTCTCTTCTCCATGTGGCAATTAATCTCAGGACCTGCTAGTAAACCACTACTGATAGAAAGCAAACTGTCATTTTTGGGAAATGGAGGATGGAAAGCAAATCAGTTTGAGATTTGAGTTTTTCCACATCACCGTTATCTCGGATGCTTCAAGGTCTCATGTCTACATGTTGTTGTCTAGTAGGACATGAGATGGAGCAAGAACTAAAACACTTTCCTTGAGACGGAATCACTTGCGAGTTACTCTTCGGACGAACGATTAGGACTGTTCCTACTATGCGTTTTGAAATAACCATCCTTGCAAAATTGCCATATCTTCACGTTGAAAACAAAATTAAAGCAATGGGGTCCTTAATTTGTCTGAAACTGTTCCCGACTGTTCTATCCATATTTTTGGAAATGTGACAGTGAGGAAGTCAGGTGGAAATTCCTGGTTCGTTGAAGCATTGTCGTTCTAGATGACATCCTAGTTAGGTAGTTAGTAGGTATAGCTATAGGTCGCCTACTAGATTTCAATTAGATTGACAATGGTTGAAGTCATTGCTACGCCTGTATTTATATCCAAATACTAGTTGATAGTTCATGGTTTAATGATTTGAGATTAATAAACATGGAGTGACCGTTCAATGACTTCGAACCAATATGATTTTATGAGAATATTGGAATTTGACTTGGAATATTTTCTCATTTGTGACACTATTTTCTGCATCATCATCTTCTTTGGTATATTATTCATGCAAAGTAAATATGTACTTATATTCACATTAATTGAAATGATCCACCTTAATCCAAGTCTTTTCTGATAACATAAAAAATAAGGAAATATACTTTACTTGTAGAGATATAAACGTACCTATAACTGTGATCATGAAAACAACAATTGAAAGAAGGTGGTCATTATGGCAAAGACTGTTAATAAAATCCCTTTTTGGCCTGTGAGTAAATTTAACTTTATATCCTTGAGAGCTAGACTTCTGACAGTCTTTTATCGATTTCAGATGTTGTCTCTTGCTGATAGTATTCTTAGCAATATGGGTAGTATTTCCATTAGTGTTTATGAATAGTCTATCAATTCAAAGTTTTTTTATGTTCATGAATAGTAAGTACAGTACCAGAGGTAGATTATGTGAATTATTTCATTCCACCAAAGATGTATCTAGCAGGTTTCCCCTGACATATATTATGTAATAGTTATACTGCTCACAATTAAATCCTTCATATTAATGTATTCCTGGAATCTATACAAAGGGTTTGAGATGAATCGGTAAGTATAGTTGAATAATATGAGCGAATGATCATACTCGATCAAAATGTAGTTCGATCAATCAATATTTCGATCAATTGGTATTTTGATCAATTGATTTTCGATCAAATGATGTTCGATCAAATGAAGTTCGATCTAATGATTTCGATCATATTTCCGGCTACCGGACATTATATCCGCGACATTCAAGCTATATTCCGATTTCAACTGGTCAGTATGCTGTCAGTTAATCCACTAACTCTGCTGATAAGCTGTGTTCCGGAATATGGAATCAAAAATATTGTGCTGTAATTCGGAACACGTTTTCACGGTTTTCAACAGTAATCAGCAGCAGTTGATCAGCTGGTGAAATTAGAATATCATTCTCAGCGTCGATTATTTTAATACAGGCATTTTCTGATATCAAATATATTATAATTTTTTTATTGATAAGGCAAGGTTCAATGTTTTGAACACAACGGCAATAAATGTGACATATTCCTTCCCCCTCTAAAATAATGGCAGTTCACTGAAGCCACACTACCTTCTGATAGTCAGCAATCTCAGCAGAATTTTGAGTCGAGAATTTTGAAATGAATATAGTATGTCGGCTCACAAGTATATGTCACTTTCAGTAGATTATTTTGATTTCGAAATGAACAATCAGCATATATGAATTCGGAATATTGTATCCGCGCTGCAGTATATCCGTGGCCTCTCATCCGCATCAATGTTAATGGCTATGCAGTTATAGTACACATCTAAGTGTACATCATTCTGTTTTCTGTACATTCTACTCACCAGCATCTAGCTGCACCAATTCCGTCGGTGGCTCTCTGAATTCTCTTGCATATAAATAACGTCACTGACAATTGGCGAATTTCGAGGTCACAATCTTACGTTGCGATGACGTTTAGCTATGGAGGAAATATGTCTAACTCCTGGCTTGAATTGAAAGTCAGACATGTTTTTCTACTGCTGAATGTCATCGTAACGTCATCCGATGACCTTGAAATCCGTCAATAAGCGATATCTGCGAGAGGCAGTTATATTTTTATAGAAATAATATTTCAAGTGAGAGAATGGAACTGCAAGCTGTGAATTTGGTTGCCACTTCGCGGCTCGTGTTCAATCCATGCAAATATCGACTTTTTTCTCGCAAGTAATTTTCGTTCGAAAAATATACTTCCTAGATAGAAAGTTCCTTCAGATTGTCTCCCATCTCTTCTCAAGTTATTGTTCTAAAGATATACTTTCTAGCAAGAAGAATCTTTAGGCCGAAGATTGTTCTTCAGGCCGAGTTAGGTTAGATTATTGAAAAACCACAGATCGTTCTCCTGCGATAAAAAAAAATATATAAATATAAAAGTAACCTCGGTGAATTCATCGTCAACAGCCCTAGTGCGACTGATGATTCTTGGGTTTATCATCATGGTATTTGTTCCGCTACGAATATTAACATTTTGTCTTTATTTCATTTTATTATAATATAATAAACTTTTGATATTATTGAATTACAAATCCCTTCGGCATGGATATAATATCAAGGATGTAATGTCGCGGATGTAATATCACGGATATAATGATTCGCGGATATAACGTTGCGGATTTATGTCGCGGATATAGTAGCTGCGGATATAATGTCTCAGAACCCTTCCGAACGTACAAAATGTTCTGTCAACCTGTTGAAAACAGGAAAACGTTCATTCCTGGAACAACCAGAGATTAGGGTCTTCTATATTTCTCAATATTCTTCATTTTCGAATATTTTTTGAACAAGGTGTCACTGACTATCATTTGAATTTTTCTCAGAGGTTTCTGATGTACGTAGTCCATATACCGGGTGGCTACGGAAGTATTGCCAACGAAATATCTCAGTTATTGTATGAAGTAGGTTTGTGAAATTTGAAGCGTCGATATAATGACATAAGAGCTAGAATTTGAGCATATTGACATGTCGAAGTTAACTTCCGGTCTGACCGGAAGTAACATCAACTTCCTTATTTCAAATGGAAACCCTATTTTTTTTTCCTTTTCATTTTGTTCCGCGTTCAATTCTCTTTCTGATGACATATCACAAGTTGGTATCTAACCAGAAACTAGATCAGAAAAAAATTATCATTGAAATTCACCGAGTAGAAGAATAATTATAGGATTTTTTGGTATTTCATTTCAAAAAATGACTTTCTATTATATCATTAGGAAGGAATGGTTATGCTGAATAGTACAGGCAAGAAAAAGTTGTATGTTCCTATTCAAGTTATGGACCAGAGTATTGTTTTTTCCCCAATTTTTCCAATATGTTTTTGGCGGCTTTCCATAACGCCGACGAATGAAAATAAAATATCACAGTAGTAGCAACTGTTATCAAGTGATGTATGGTTTCCATAGCCAACTTTTCAATTTGTGAATTTCAATAATAATTTTTGTCTGATCTAGTTTCTGGTTAGATACCAATTTGTGATATGTCATTAGAAAGGGAATTGAATGCTGAATAAAGCGAAAAGAAAAAAAACAGGGTTTCTATTCAAAATAAGAAAATTAATGTTACTTCCGGTCAGACCGGAAGTTGACTTCGACATGTCAATATGCTCAAATTCTAGCTCTTATGTCATTATATCGACGCTCCAAATCTCACAAACCTACTTCATACAATAACTGAGATATTCCGTAGGCAATACTTCCGTAGCCACCCGGTATAACATTGTAATTCACAAAATTTTCTGTCAACCTGTTGAAAACAGAAAAACGTTCATTCCTGAAACAACCAGAGATTAGGGGCTTCTATATTTCTCAATATTCTCCATTTTTAAATATTTTTTGAACAAGGTGTCACTGACTATCATTTGAATTTTTCTCAAAGGTTTCTGATATTGACATTTCTAGTGACGTTTTTGGGGCAAACTTTGGAGAAATTAACTCACAACCATTACCTTCATTCAGATTGTATCGAAAACAAAATGAATAAAGGAGTTATCATTGATGTAATTTGATGTAATCAACGTTACCATGGTAACTTAGTCAATTTTCCTAAATACAGAGATGACTTATTTTGTATTCGATCATATAATTTTGCATCACACAGAAATATCCACCGACTCAAGGTGAGTTTATAGAGCAAATGAAACAAAATAAGAAATAACAATAGAATACAATAGGAATGTTCAACATGGGCATTGCCATAGTACCGTTCATACAGGAAATAAGTGAGGAATAAGAAAAAAGTACATTACAGAATATAAGAGGTGAAAAATTATACAAAAAAGTAAACAAAAGTAGGTATAATTAACATGTGACCTGAAGGGGTCGAATAAACAATCATAAAGTAGTATAAAAGAGTTTTACCCACCTAAATATGGAATGCAGGCACAGGCCAAGGTGTCCCAAAGGAACATTGGGCACATACAAAACCAAAAACACCAAATTTGGGTTCGATCGACGTGGATGTTAAATTCTTCACTTGGTTGAGAAAACTGCCGTTCAAGAGTCAAATGACCAGCGCAAGACATTTCTGAAATCCCCTCCTAACCATAACCGACCTACGTGTGCGCACGGATTTTGAATCTGTATTAATGAAAGATGGGTTGCCTAGCCTCCTGAAGAATATTTGATTATATTAAAAAGAGAGCATGGGCGGCGACATTGATTTGTTACATCTCCATCCCCCTCCCTTGAGCGAGAGTGCGAAGTACAGAACTCACCACCTGAAAACAATCTATGGCGGCTCAAAATATTTTTTCAAATGGCTCGCGTGGAACAAACCCCTCTCGCGACCATCTAGGTGACATAAAACGTGAGTATGTCCCCGTATACGTTTTATAATTGAAAAAGGACCTTCAAACAATAATAATAATTTTTTAGTTTGAGCCTTCACAGTCGAAGATATATTATTTGCCTTCAAGAGGATTTTATCACCCGGTTGGGACGGACGCCCCTGAATTCGCGAAAATACTTTTTCGCACGTCAAGTTTAATTATCACTGTTTCAGGTACGCCACTGGAAATCAATTAAAGCTCAGGGCCGATACCGGAATCAACTTCATCCAGAATTTCTATAGAAGAAAAAGTTTTATTTTTCAAATCCTCGTTTTTATTCACTAAAACTGTAATATTTACTGGGCAAGGGTTGCTGCCTTCATATAAAGCATGGAAGGAACATGAATACATTTATTTTTCGAACACAAAACAATGTTTTTATTTCTAAGGTCTATTGTACCTTGAAACAATCGTAAAAAATCACAACCGATAATAATTGGATATGACAAATCAGCAATTAACGAAAACTCGTGTCAGAAAGTGTTTGGTACTTTGTACATCACCCTTTATGTTATATCTAGGTCAAGTAGTTAAGACACCATGTATGTCCAGTACTTTACCTGTATGATCCTGTATAATGGTAGTTGCTAGTGGTATTACCCTATATAGGATAGGATTTCATTTGTTGTTATCATGACGACGTGTTGTTGAAACATAAGATTGAATCAAGAAAGTTGGGAGAGAAATTGCAATCGGTTGCAATTTCCCTTTTATTCTTCATATCATATCAGTTTTTATTCAACGATCGAAATACAGTCCACACTCATCACCAAGAGCATCGAACATATTGGTCCAATCGAGCGGATTCAAGAGTTCAACAGAATTCATCATCAGCGAGAGTCGTCATTCGAGAAGGCAACATCGAGTCAATCGAAAGGCGCAAGAAGCAACAAGTTCCAGACGACGGTTGATGTAAGCAGCTGGCCAAGCATCCAGACCTGTGATACAGACACAGAGCAGACAACCGTGAGCAGCTGGTACAACAGAACATCAGGATATCGTTCCACAACAGCAAGGTCAGGTAGAATTTTGTATTGTTCT